TGAAATTAGTCTATCTGGAAGTAAATCATCAAGTTTGAAATACTGCCTTTGCTAATCAGTCGGTTTACTTTTGTCATATAAATTGTTTTTAGATTTGTATTGTTCCTTCTGGTATAGATACGACGCAGAGGAATAACAGAAAACGAGCGATCATTTTGAGACACCCGATGCACCGTCATCATCAAAATGTTATTTATTCTCGTTCTTTTCGTCTTCAGAATCTGTACTATTATCGTCTAACGTTAGATATGGATCCCAATGACCACCTTCCCGTATTCGCCGTTGGTCAGCATAACTATCATAGGCAACCTTGGTTTGATCATATAAAAATTTATTGAATGGAACTTTATCAGTGTCATAACAGCCTTCAAGTAATGATAAACATGTGCTCATAGTAAATGTGCTACTGATCGCCTCCTTATTTTCGAAGTCCAACGCAATCATGGAAAGTATGTAAACGTGAATGATGAGTGGTAGAGGGGAAACAAATATTACTGGACATTCTCGCGGATTGAAAGTACGATCTACAGGATTTGTCTGAGCTGTACTCGCTTCAGCCAGAAACCGTAGCAATCGATCATCACAAATAAATGTGGACAAGGGAATCTGTAGGGCTACTTGACTGCGGAGGAAATTCGAAGCAATCCTATCTTGATTGTCGACGAGTGTGTACAAAGCATATTTTGAGGCTTCCGCGTACTGTTTCCGACAATATATTAGATATATGAGCATGGCAGGGCCAGAGAAGTAATCATTGTATGAACTCATATCTTCTTTCTTGACCTGGAATAATGGATGAGAATCCGAATAGTGACCATGAACTTCTTCCAATGCTGCGGTTACGAATGTGATCGTCTGCTCCATTTCTGCGTCTGCAAGATCTTCACAAGCCGTGTTAATAAAAAATAGGTTCTGTAGATGTAAATTCCCTATGCATCGTTTAATGACGTTCGTAAAGTTAATATAACAAACTTCTCTGCTACCATCATTTGTTTTTTCTTGTTCTTGATACTTTTCATGCAGATCAATCAGTATTGCAAGTACTTTTTCAAATTTCAAACCATCAAAAGGATTAAATACGTGTGATACCTGTGTCAAGATACAATCGTACATCTGCATCAGGGGCATCACAATGGTGTCACGATCCACATGTTGTTGATAGATATCTTTTAACTTCTGGTCTAAAACGGATGGATCGTGCCATTCATCCCACAGTGCCTGCTGCTCGAAAACATAATCGTAAACTACAAGAAACATTCGTTGACGTGCAATGAAGGCCTTCAGAATTCTATCGTCTCCGTGAATAATGGCACGGATTCTGTCTAAATATTTGCTTACGGTAGAATCATGCTCGTTTGACATTGTACTCAATAGATTATTGCACTTTATTATATAATGGGGACACTGCTGGCTCACGAGACACGCAAGCAATTGTTCGAATAATTGTTTCACACAAAAAATAATTGATTCTGATGAGCAATGGTGTTCGCTGTTGTTTTCACACCAATAAAAGAAGATGTTTTTCAATATGTAGCTGCCAAACGGAGCTTGAATGTTCGTCTGGGTCTGAAAAGAGATAGAATGTCGACCATTGTGTGCAGAGAGGTCAGATGTATCTGCTCGGGGTAGTTTATACCCAATTATGCTCACCTAATCACATCGGACTCGCAAAGGTTTCCACCTTCACAACTCGTATCTGCTTCTGATCGAGCAGTGCGGAAGAAGACTCCACGGAGCGCAATAATGAAATCATGAAAAAATTTTCGCTGTTAAAAACGTCATACCAGATTTCCTTCCAAAGCTTAACAATGACTATTTCAACTTTGTACCAGATCCAGAATGAAGGATCTTCTGTTGTTTCGCGTCATTGGTAACGAAAAAAAGTCAAAAATAGTATTATATCGGCTACACCATAAAAAAATCCGTAGAATAAAAAACGGAAAAAGGATTTAAGAGTTTGCAACCAGTTACAAACCCTTGGAACCGTTTTTGAAAACCAACAACCACAGAATTGAACGGACGCAACAACCACAGAAATGGATCCTTTGGGCTTCAGATATTGAATGGTGTACTATAGTTGGATTTTGTAAAATACTTGTGAAATACGATCGTTTGTTCAGCATTCAATGTCTCAAGATCAAAGTACCCGATCAGCTGAAACTTATACGGCACCGTCTGGACCACGGGAAAATTCAGCTTAACCTTTTCAATATGACTCTACATGAATAATGAATAGGCAGTCACAAGTGAAAAATTTAGGGAAACGTTTCTAACTCTCAAGAGCAGAACAAAGCGAGTGACTGCTACCGGTCACAGAGAGTGCTACTTATGGACAAAATAGCTCTCGAAAGCCGGATATTACTTGGTAATATTCTGTCCTCAGGCACAATTACAACAGATGCGGTAAGAATCCTTTGCAGATTTCTCTGGCCAACTAAACCACCATTTGAGCGTTCAATGTGTCCAGTAACAAACCACTTTTCGAGGATTATGAATTTATACCCAAAATCAGAACGTTTTTAGGTTTCGTAGCCCTACGAAACCTTTTTAAGTTTCGCACGGCGCCTTTTTTCTACAGTGTACTACCAAAGACCCATGTTTCAAATGGATTTGAGTCACTCGAAAAGTTTTTTCAGTGGATAAAGACCCATGAAAATGACTCTAGTTGGTCAAAAAGGACTTTGGTACTATAACTAGGGTTTTTGCTGAGGAATATTTTTTTGTTAAAGTGGTTACTTCACCGGGCAAATTGTGGTCTAAAATACGTTTCTGATTGCGCTGAATGCGATGAACCCTTTGGTAAGGAGAACAGTATAAAAATATAGGAGAAATTTCTTTGCACAGGATTTTTAAAAAACCCTTCCCACACACCACTCGTAGATCGTTAGAGTTCGCCGCTGCTGTGGCTGGAACTATGATCCTGACGGAAAAATATGCTTGTTTCAGATGGATCTGAGTCAGTCCAAGAACTATTTTAGTTATATAATACTTGCGTAAATGACTGTAGTTGGTAAATAAGAACTTTCGCACTATAGTTTTGAGTTTTTTTTAGAATTTTTTTGAAAGACGGCCAACTTGACCGGACTTACAGTGTTCTAAAGTTGGATTCCGGCTACACTGAACACAATGAAGCCTCTGGGTAGAGAAGAGAATACAATTATAGGGAAAGTTAATTGCACAGGATTTTAAAAGCCTTTCGGGAAAAACTGTTCGGTAATAAACACTTGCATAAGAACCGTGGAATAATAAACCCTTTCGAACACATCAAGAAATCCTTCCGACCATCGAATAATAAACCTTTGTAAATGAGTTAAAACCTTTTTTATCGTTAGAAGCCTTGCAGTCATAAACCCTTTGGCTCACAAACCCCTGAATGGTTTTTTATTGTACGGAAATTTTTTTTGAGAGTATAGCCTCTGTAAGAATGCAGGAATGTCTCATGATGGGGTGCTTGAAGCAAAACAGGCTAATAGAGCAAACATCTATTTCTTATTTTAGCCCTGGTTCAAAATGATGCTGTACTATGACTCGGTCAGAAATATTACGTGAAGATGACCTCTGGAATCAGTCGCTTAGTTTCAAGAAGTTGACAGAAGCGTTCCCCTAGATCACAGAGTGAGTTAATGAGTTGTTGCTCAATGCTCCGTCACAAATGCAGCAGATCTCTACGAATCACCTTTCTAACTGCTTCGAGTAGGCGCACCGTTTAGGATCCGCTTACCGAAGCGTTGCTCGTTTGTTCAAGTTCATTTTTTGTTTCCTTGATGACATAATCTTTACAGATCGATTTGAATAAAATATAACACAAGCGCTGATTTTTACTTAATGTTTTTACTAATTCCATCTCTACCAGTGAAAACGATATACGCCACTCATCGTCACGCTGATGACTGAATTTGTAACCCACAGGTGTCAATAAACAGGAAATTTCATTATTGAAACATCGCTGAATGAAGTCATGAGGTGGCCATTGGTACTGTCGTGATTCACGATGAAAATACTCTGCTGCTACAGTCGGCCACTGAAGTAGTTTATAACAGGGTACCACATCTGTTTCCATCTGTTTCGCTGCAATTTGATCGTCATTTGGCCAAATAGGTGTCCTTACACAGTATGCAGGGCCATGTTCATACAATAGGTGTTCTTTCAATTTTTCACTATACCCTCGAAGCTTAAGTAAGTCTGCATGACTTACGGTATGCTGTCCTCGACGCAACAGAACGTAGCCTGGATATGGAGCGTAAACGAAATACAATGAACTTGTTGGATCATTTTCGGCCACCAGTTCATATTCAACATACATTTGATCAATATCTGAATCACCGTACGGCATCCATTGTTCACCACCACTTCCAGATATGATTAACTCAGACATGGTATACTTCATTTTACAGTACTCTTCTTGAAGACGATGTTTGATTTTTTCACACTCAACATGAACTTGCATTATCATGTCATTACAAATATCATTGGAAAATATAATCGATATAAGAGATGAGTAGTTTTCTGTTGGTAGACTGATAAATAATTGCAACTGTTTTTGATATTTTCGATAAAAGTCTACTTCCAAAGGCTCTTGTTCCTTCTATAAACAGAATATTCTTGAAGAGATGATGGTAACAAGGAAGGAGATTCCCAAAATTCGCATCATCAGATATCGAGTTACATCATATGGAAGCCAATAGAGTCGAAAGATGTTCAGATCCTACAGTAACTATAGATCAATTGCTTTGAGCTCGTTAGGATTTGCACTAGTTCACAGAACATCCCTTACTCAAAACTGCTCAGATTAGATGGGCAGGTAGATTTGTTGGGTCATTGAAACATGTATGTTACCCCTCGGTAGGTCAATGTATTTTATGTTTCTCTACATTTTCTGTCGTGACTGTATCTCACTCCACACGTCTCATGATTATTACATATTCTGAGCTTACCGGAAACTGTACTGTTTCAAAGATACAATCCATCGGATGTGTCTTCAGATGCTGCGAGCTTTCTCTCCCATCATCAAAACATGATTGACAAAGATTATAATTGGTGCACACTTTACAACAATACCGCAGCCCTTCAAAATCTTTCGCGTCGCAACCATCGCACGAGATATCTTGAAAACAGAAGCAAGGAAACTCCACTCGAGATTGGAACCTATCTAGGAATAGAATGGTGACATACATACCTCTATGTACTGGCATTGAACAGATGAGACGAACCTATAAAAATAAAATCTGTTTTGTACGATTAAACGAAAACGACAGAGCCCCCTTCTCCTCATCGGTTGCAAACACTTTTATGAAAAAATCGTGCTTGAGCTAATATAGAGGTACCGTGCGGGAAGTGTAAGATACACATGGGTTATTTTCATTGAGAGAATACTTTGAATGCTGGCAAAAACAACTTTGCACTGTCAAAAATTAACTCTAAAAATGAGTAGAGAGATGATAAAATATTATCGCTTATCTAAGAATGCATCTCAAGAACAGCTGTAAATGAGTGAGACCTTTATCTGCATAATGGAATCTATCTATCCATGAGTATTCATGCTAGGTGTTCTTCGATTAAGCATATTTTTCCTCTGAACTGTCGTTTCTGGGAGCAGCTATGAGATGTTAAGTTGAAGCATCTTGTATTTCAAATCGGATGGACAGAATAGCAACCAGTCAACTTTTCCATGATTGATAGCGTACAAGTGGGATCCTTCTCCGAAAATACTGTTCAGTGAAATTCTATTTCCACGAAGCTGAGCATTGTGGGAGTCCGTAGAGAGTTTAGTGAGATTTCTAAAGGAGTAGACTGCGTAGTGTCGACAGACATTCTGAGAGTTTTCTATGTCCCATACCCTTTCAGTGTAAGAATACTTCTTTCTTCTTTCGTGTACGTGTTTGACTAAACAGTCTTTCAGTATATAAAGAAGCTCCTTTGTTATATTTTTAAAAGACATTAGCAATAGTATGCGAGAGGGTGATGCTCTTTACGTTCGGTTCTGTGGCTTCATTTCACTCATCAAGGTGGAGCGCTGCTCTAAGAAGCCGTGACAAAAAAAGCAAAGTAAAAAAAACAAAAAAAAAAAAATTCCAAGTAAAACAAAATCACCTATCTAGATTAGATAGTCAATTTCTCAATTTAAAGTTTCTCGGCAACCTACTTGGGCGGTGGTCTCGCTTAAGGAAGCCGAAAGATTAATTGGTCATCAAAGAACCCCTTCTTGCTTCGGCCCAAAATTCTCAAGTATCCTAGGCGATAGAGCTTGATGAGCTCTATCTGCGGTAAGAATTTCAGACAGTTGCATTGTTGGCCAACTGAACGCGCCCTATCCACATTTCACTGACTTTAGAAGGAAAATGTAAAATATGCCTGTTCTACGATTGGTTCCTGCGGCCCATCTGGTCGATGGAAATTTCTGATTTTTAGTATGTGATAGCAGAATTAGCTGGTAATTATGCCTAGAAAAACCAGAAGTCGAAATTTTCTAGTGTTCAAACGCAGAAACAATTTTTCTGTAAAAAAGCCAAAAAGCGACGCACAATACTACTATCGAAAAAATTCGATCGCGTGACGAGTACTGCGCTTCAGAAACTCAACGGATTGAGCTGTAAATTGTTTTGGAGGTATAACTCACTACCCTCTACAACACATCCAAAATCAGCCAAATCGGCGATGGTCAACTGCCAACGCCTGTCTGATTTTCTGAGAAACTCACTCTTAATAATTGCACCTTTTCGTAATATCTGCTTCCTATGGTAGTAAGTCAAAAACAGTTGCTTGCGACGAAATAGTTGAGCCATACTTACCTCACTTCGCGAGAGTATAAAATGTAACTGATCTGGCTGTTTCTATTAATTTTTCTGACATAGAGAGCAATAACAACAAGGTTTTATCAAAGAACAGCACACCTTTCATTCATTACTCACGCTGGCCATCTACTGATAAGTCGTATCTTAAGAAAGGGAGAGAGAAGAAAGGTCAGATCAAATAACACAACACAAATATCAGGAAGAGAAAGTAAGGTGAAAAAGAGAAATACAGTATATATCTTCTAAACTTTTTATCTATTTCTTCAATGCAGTGCTTCGCTTGATATGATAGCACCGACACCAACTACAATGGCTACCACGACGACCACCACTCAGACTACATCGACTATAACGACCGTAACAACAACTACTACAACATCTGCAAGTGAGTGTTTGATCTATTCTTTGCTGAACATTCAATATGTCGAAATTTTCATTCTAGCGACCACCACGACAAGTGAGTTTTATTTAATTCTCTTTCTCTCTTCCACTTGTTCTTCTTTAAATGTCTCTCATTTACGTTCAGCTACCGCTGCTACCACGCTGACTCCAGAGACAACCGATGCATTTTGGTCGGTCGACAACAATGTTCTCGACTTGTACAACAACTTCAACAGCAACGCTTCTGGTAGGCCGACCTACACAACGAGCTATCTCGGCACTAGTGCCGCCATCAGTCTTACTCAATCATCGTCGCAATATGTCCTCATCAACTCACGGCAACTTCTTCTCAATTCAACGAGCTTCACCATCGAAGCGTAGATCTATCACGTTCTCCCACATTCGATACCAGAAAACGCTATCACAGAGATTTCCACAACTCCATGGGTGAGTTTTCAGAAATAAATCGAATCCGAAGATTCGAAATATCATATATTTAGCTGCCACAACTCTACGATACGGGTGTTTGGGCTGTCACAATAGAATTTGGTGTGCGCAGATTCTCAATTAAATGAAAGCGCTTAAATAACAGCTTTATTCTTCATAAAAATTGAGATTACACAATGCAAGAGTATCAGAGATCCTTTTCGCACGTCCTTCATTCTGAGTAGGTAACCTATGCGCACATTTCGTTGTGTCTCTGTTGAAATCCTTCTGAGTTTTACAATTTTTTGTCCATATCTGAAAAAGCTTACTAAAAATCCAAAGGATTTATGACCAACAAAAAACTCTTAAGTATTATGCAAAATTCATAATATACCATTTTCTGTTCAAGAGTAAAAATCAAAAATCTGTTTGGCTCTATAAAATACTGATAATTTTCACATGAGCAAGCGAATCTCGCGGTCATTATAATCTAGATCTTACTAGGTTATAGGTACGACCAATTGATTACCTATTACCAGGTTATAATCTATAAATTTCTCCGTTTCTCCCAATGTGCAAATTAAACTAGGCTCGCCTTTGTCTAGACATACTAAATAGGTGAGTTCTTTTAGTAAATGACGGAGTCACTTTTAAGCGAAATCTGCACCCGGTGTTTTTAAGTTACTTTCAATCGGAGTTTGTAGACAAAATGTTTTTATTACCGAAATCAAAGAGGCAGATTGATTTTCTTTTCAGATACTCTTCCTTTTTATTTTATTCGTAAAGTTTCGACAACGTTGTTGCCTTCATCACACGTGAATTGCAAAAGAACATGCAGAGTTTTGTATGTTTCTCTTTCTTTTCTTTTCTTTTCTTGTTACTCTTACGTTACGAGCGTTGACTATTGCTTATATGATAGTGGGACGGAGAAAGAAGACTACTGGTCGATCCTACCAGTATCACCATCTTGCTGTCCATCCCATTATCATATAAACAGTAGTCAACATTCTTAAGAGTAACAAGAAAAGAAAGAGAAACATACAAAACTCTGCATGTTCTTTTGCAATTCACGTGTGATGAAGGCAATATTGTGATCGAAGCGTTACGAGTAAAATAAAAAACGAAGACTATTTGAAAACAATATCAATTTGCCGTTTCGATTTCGGTTTAGCCAATTTACTTATGAAAGATTTTTCGGCGCTAGTGTAGTGATTACTATTATTCTCAGTACAATCTTCTAATGAGCACAACAACGACTTGTTGAAATAAATGAATCCGAGGGATAATCATCCACATTCGAGTAAAAGTTTTAAAAATAAAAATAGAGATGTCTTTCATACCAATCGATATTCGTTTCTTCTGATGTTGATATATCTTTCTTGTAGATGGATTCAAATGATTAGATCGAAATCTGTGTTCACTGACTTATTGGAAATCTATTCGATTCGACTTTTTTCAAATAAAATATATCCATTATTTTCTCTAGTAAGTTGTGAAACATACTAATTATTCGCTTGTTGTTTTATAATTAGATTTACTTTGATGTGTCTATCAGAAGGTCAGAAATTGATCGAAAATCCATCTCTTCAATACACTTAACCAATGAAAGATATATTGATTCACATATTTCCGCTCTGTAGCCAATTCTCTTCTTTGCACTTTCCCTGGCGAATTTGAATAGAATTCTATGAGTAAAATGATAAGATAGTGAAGAAAAGACGTTGATTGATTCCTCATAATTTTTGTTGTAAACAAGAAAGACTGTACAAACAATCATTTCGATTGTCCACTTGACTGTTCTTTGAAAGAATTAGTCAAAGGTGAAAGTTCATCTTAGTCATCGCAATGATACGTGCTTAGCTGTTCGTCATAAACAATATCACCCACATCAATACATGTTTTTTTGTATTTTCGAAAATAATCTTTCCTATAGATACGTTCTAAAAGTTATATGACGGAATCGACTACGAAAAATGAAAGTGGAATTCCTTCAGTAATGAGAGCAGCACAACAAACCAATTTCGGAGATGTTCGTGATGTTTTGACGATTGTTGATAATGTTCCCATACCTCGACAATTATCTTCGAAACAAATTCTCATTCGTGCTCATGCAGCTTCAATCAATCCAGCCGATTGGAAAATAATGAGTGGAATGTTATCCATATTCATTCGTTATTCTTGGCCTCATATACCTGGTAGTGATGTTGCAGGTGAAATTGTTGATATGGGTCCAGAAGTGAAACGTTTTCGTGTTGGTGATCATGTCTATGGCAATGTTGGCATTGGGGCAGGTGCTTTTGCTGAATATGTTCGAGCGGATGAGTCTCTATTTGCATTGAAACCAAAGAATTTAACAATGGAAGAAGCAGCAGCAGTGCCAGTGGCTTGTGACACAAGTTATCAAGCATTGTTTCATAAAGTTTCACCACCAATTGGAAAGGGAAGTAAAATCTTCATTTGTGGTGGAAGTTCAGCCTGTGGATTATTTGCGATTCAATTAGCAAAAGCAGTTGGTGCCTCAGTAGCAACAACATGTTCACAAAGAAATTTTCAACTAATGGAAAAATTAGGTGTGTCTTTCTTCATCAATTCGAATGACTTCTCAGTGTGATAATTCTAGGATAAGATCGTATTTACTTGTAAATAGGAAATACATTACTATTTGCTTCGAAACCCCATTGGTTGGTCAAGAACCAATAGAACTCGAGTTTTTCGGAAAATGGGTAGTTTAATAGGGGTAATTTAATCCGAGGAGTTCGAACCTGAGCTCTATTTCCCTGAAAAATCGTTTTTATCGATTCCTGACCCACCAATGGAATTTCGAGGCAAATGGAGCTCAAATTCGGACTCCTCGCATTGAATTACCCATATGGAATCATTTTCCGAAGAACTCGATTTCTATTGGTTCCTAACCAACTAATGGGATTTCGAGACAAATAGTAATGTATCTACTATTTACAAGTAAATAAGTAAAGTAAATACTATATTTACTTATTTACTAAGGGATGAGTATGAAAAATGAAGAAATACAATTGTAAAAAGGCATCAAACAGCTACTAAGACGCCTTTCGGCCTTGCGGAAGGTCCCCATCCGGTAGCTTCTGCTTCTTTCACACTTCCATTCTAATTTCTTCAGTCCGGTTAGAAGAAGGGCATCCCATAGTTCCGCTACATTTGAAGTACTCTTCATGACCAAAATCAGTTTGCACTCTCTATTCTCTCGTATATCGACCAGAATCTTCAGAAACCTGTTCATAAATAAGAGCGATTGAAATCAAGTGCAGATGAGACAATAAATCGCATTAAATGGCTCATTTTCTGAAGGAAATAATTACTCAAATCAATAGAAGGTGTCACTCGCCTTTGAAGCGAGATGAATAGGCTTGACCAATTTCAGTACATTTGCTTAAGAATTTAGCCAAATTCAACGTAATCCGATAGCTCATCTACTCTCAATTTCAACTGCTCTGTTATTAAATTACATACAAACCTCCGATTATCAATCATGAACAGCCCCGAATCTACTTTGACCCGTGTGTTTAATCCTGCAAGCTGTACATTTGACTGAACAAACCGTACTTACCATGAGATGCTTATCATTCTTCAACTGGTCAATCACCGAAAAGCTTACTTTTTACATGAACAGAGAAGGAATTTTACAAATAGTTTTTATTTGTTAAAAATGCAACGGAGTTGAAAAGAACAATGAACAAATAGCTACGATGACAAGAACAAACTAGATACAGGTCACACAATAGAAACAAACGGATTGTTTTTATCCTTGTCGTCGTATCTAAGCATGGATACAGAAGGACATTTTTGAGCAAGAAGAGACGCTAGCGATCGAGTGATCAATGTTGGTATAAACTATTTATTACGTAAAGTACTTCACCATATCTGCACTAAATCGGACAAACTATTATATAAATACAGATGTTTCAGAAATGACCTTATGATTTTACGTTGAAGCGTTTAGATTCGATGATATAGTTTAAGACTTGTCCCGGGAGTATCTGACGGGCATTTTTCCATGTTTTGCAGACACACACACAACTTTTGAAAGATCGTTTGATTATACCGCCTATTGATGAGTCATAAGTAGGTGCCCTTATGACAGATTTTCGTGAGTCGGGACTTTAAGTTAAAACTTATGAATATAAGATAGAAACACGATATAGAAACACGAAACACGAAGAACGAAAACAAGCTTTTATTTTCTTTTAAACATTTCTTGACATGTATGGATGTATACTACCTGTTATTTAATGGATCGCTCTTTCGTACGGTGGGACCACCATTGCCAAGGGCTACTTAGCCACTGAACAACGCCATCTTCTGGACTTTGTGGAGGTAATGGTGTTAATATCTTGGATTTTAGCTGTTGGCGAGTCTGGATCATGACAGTACTGGTAATATATGCCACGACTTAATTGGACGATGAAACTAAATGAGAGATTGGAGGTTAATGTTGGTATGACGGGTATATGGAGGTTCGTATTCCAGTGTTATTGGGGAAGGCTTGAGAGAAATGAACCGGGATGCAGTTGAATCAAGACATGAAATATTGCTATACGTACTAGATATGGTTGGATCAATGATGGCGTCGGATGAAATTACAGTAGCGATAATTTTGTATTTCATATAACAGTTCATTTTTTCTGTATTGAAGGAACAGCGTCGGATCTTACCAGGTGAGGTGGAATCTAATATTAATTTGCGAATGTATGCATCAAGTTCGGGAAAATTGCTAGTGGTTGACACGGTGGTGTTCGCTGAGCGAGAGGAAATTGATAGCGATAGTTGATTCGAAGATGGAAACCGGAGGATTGAAAACATCGTACCTAAGAAAAGGGATAATGCAGTAATAAGAGCTATCTTTCATTTTGCAAATTCTTCTCATACCTCATGTACACTGGACTATCGAGGATAAAAAATATTGATTTAATTTGTCACTTGCATCGACACGAGGATGCCATTTATTATTCATTGTACACGGTTTTGATTGTTCCTTCTTATCCAGATAAAAAGGTGACATCAGCACAACGATCAGCGCACTCGAATACCTATATGCTGACACTTCTTACGATTAAAAACTCGAATTTTGGGAAAAGTGAGCCACTTTTAGAACGATTATATCTCGGCCAGGAGGCAAAATTTTGGGGGTCGCTGAGATATCATTCGAAAGCGGACGTCGAGCTCTACAAACCTGGCGAAAAAAACAAAAAGATTTTCTTTCTGAAAACGGATTAATTTTCCCAACTTGCGTCCGAAAGAGTTAGACTAGAAAAACTCGAATTTTTACAGTTTGTCTGCCCCGATGTGCTCTTTCGAGTGGCGAAAACCCCGGAACTCTAGCTCTTTTTGTTAAAAAGTTATAAGCATCACAAGGGTTCAGCACCGTTTTCTCAAACTGGTAATAGGCTCTTATATCTTTGGAAAAACGGTTCCTTATCAAACATTTTATTTCTGATTAGCTGAAAGCTTACAAACTTGACTTGCACCTTCATTTAAGAAAAATTGAAGGTTTTACGTTGTACATATCGCACTCAGTAGATACTCGAGAAGTTATAGTTCAAATCCGCCGATAAGTGACCGAACCATTCTCCTATTTCTTAGAAACTGCCTTCCCAAATGAAAAAGTTATAAGCATCACAACGCGTCAGCACCGTTTTCACAAACCGGTAATAAATTCAGCAGCACTGCTGTATACGAAATTAATGAAGGTATTCTGCAAGGCTGGGCGCTGTGCTAAAAGGATCACATATCAAGAGACAAGAAAGAAAAACTTGAAATTCGCTTCGTTTTCTCTTTGTAAACAAATCTAATTTATTACCTTCATTATATCTAATTTACTGCTACCACTACAAAGTATTTTCTTGTTCCTCCTTCTTCTTCTGCTTCATTAAAAATGACACAACTTATTTACTACTACTACCGTTAAAGTATTATTGACTATTTTTAAAAAAAGAAAAAGAATCGTAATTAAAAGAAAAAAAAGTTAACATAGTTCTTTGTTTGTGATTCCAACAACTGCAGAAAAAAGTAATATAATTAATTCAATGTGTTCTTGTTCTATAATATAATAATAATTGCAGCTGTTTTGACTCGAAAGTCGTTGCCCTCGTACAGAGATTTTGACTTGTTCTTAAAGCAGCAATATGGGCGTAACGCAATTATTACAAAACAGCTGCAATTATTATTATATTTTTGACTCGAAAGTCGTTGCCCTCGTACAGAGATTTTCTTGTTCTATGCTCTATAAAACACTAATTTTTTTTCTCCCCTGTACTGCTGTGATTGATATATTCCTTATTGATTAGTCGCATGTAAATTAAGTAAGAAAAAAGCAGTGATAAACACATATGCCAAATAAACGATAACTTTATATAGTTAATAAATAGTTAAATAGTCTTTTTTCTAGAAATAAATGTGTTTTGATCCCCAAAAAAGTGACTCTTGATCCCCAAATTTATTGGCTACTTCCTAAATGTGGCCGAAATTTAAGCCAATTAGTATAAAAGTGGACGCAATTTGGAACGAGTAAATTTCTATGATTCTGCGTTTCCAAATTGCGGCCACTTTTTAATTAGTGAGTAATCAACAATCGTAATTTAAAAT